TTATTCGTTTTATTCGTTTTATTCGTTTTATCGTTCGTTATCGTTTTATTCAAAACTACACTGAATTGTGCAGAAAAGTAGCTCTTTTTTTGTGAAATCTTATTTGATTCTTTGATTTTGAATATCTCTTTTCGATCTCGGCCGTACTTCAATGCGATGGCACTCAACAGAGACGAGTGACCAACATGAGATTCCTGCAAGCGGTGATCGACCAAGAGTGCGAGCTGAAGTGTCCAGGTGGGACAAGGAAAGCTAGGGTCACCGGTCAACTCGTCTACGTTCCAAACTATGGAAATCGATGGCTCACTGGAGACGCGACGATGAAGGAGCGATCAATGTGGGACGAGATGAAGGAGTGACCAATGTGGGACGAGTTGAAGGAGTGATCAATGTGGGATGGGATCAAGGAGTTCGCGGGGGTGACGGATCATCTTCCCATCCTTCTAAGTTTTATTGCCGTAATGCTTCTCTTGCCCAAGTTTCTCAAATTTGTTTTTAGATTGTTTTTTAGGCTTTTTGTGCGCCGGAGTGTGCAGAAAAGTAGCTCTTTTCTGTGAAATCTTATTTGATGCTTTGATTTTGAATATCTCTGATTCTCTTGTCCTTCCTCTAAAGATCTCTAAAGATCTCACTTTCTATGCTTTTCCTTTGACTTTTGAAACACTGAATAAACGATTGATTTATTGTATTTTCTCGCTAGATTAGTGATTTTGCTATTAGGGTGGTGCAAAAGAAACTGCCGATTTGACGGTAAATTTTAAAAAAAAGATGGCGTTCGATGGTGCCATGATCACAATGGAATATTTTCGCAAGATCTCGAGCAGATTGGCATGGATCGGCCTGAATAACGTCCCTCAGCTTGGCTTCGTTCACGACTTCTGGCCTCGAACCGTGCTCATAATCTTCCAAAGTCTGGTCTCCCTCTCGGAATCGTTGAAGTCAAGTCTGACACTGCCTGAGAGACAAACTGCCATCTCCGAAAGCAGCACAGAGAACGATGTGATTCGGCAGCAGACTTTCCAGAATTTTGAAGTTAAACAGTAATGCTGCTCGTAGCACAAACTTTTGCTCGACCATGATCTGAATAAAAAATATAAGCATTTAAAAATAAAATAAACAACAACCAAAAAATTCAAATGTCGAAATAAATAGCAAACAAATATGCGAACAAAACATAAAAAAAATAATGCCGTTAGCATCGCTCGTTTCTGATAAATGAGAGCTGATACCCATCAGCAGTTTCTTTTGCCCCCACCCTAATAGATTCGAAATAAAATATCAAAATAATGATTGTCCCTTTCGTTTCCTCTCTCACGCATTGGACAATAATAAGAAAAAGATGTAAAAGTCGAAAATTTTATTTAATAAAATACCAGCAGAAAGCAGCAGTTGCTTCGGAAATTGTAAAAATGTAAACCTGAAACGAATTTCCTGTGTTGGAAAGCCGCACCTCGTAAATTTCAGCTAAAATGCAAATTGCCTCACGAACACACAACTCGGGTTCGATCCCCGCCAGTGGCCATCTACTTTTTGCAAAAATCTTTTTAAAAGGCACAACTACATGAGATTTCAATAGACACGTGTACAAAACAATAAATGATTTGGGGCGCGAAATAGAATGAAGGCGCACCGATTTCCTCAATATTTCTCCAATTTTTAGGCTGCCAGAGTTGGGTAACTTTTTAGTGGCTATTCGCCACAATGTTTATATACCGTATTTATTCTAATAGAAACGCAATCTCTATTAGAAATAATAACTATGGATATTCAGCTTAGTAGGCCGAATATCCCGAGTTTTCAGCCTTTAAGGATATGTAAGGCGTTTCCTGAAAAAGGATTGCATTCTTTATCATTTGTCTTGCATCAGCAGTGGCATCAGCAGTGGCAAATTTCCCTTGCAATCAAGTACTAAGCTTCTATTGGGTCAAACTTGTCAATTAGATTAAGTATTTTGCTATTTATTTTGGATCTACAGTGGCGGACAATTAAATAGAACCGATGCTCGATTTGAATTTGAATGAATGGGTGTGAAAATAATGGAAAATTCGTGGAAATGGATTTCTTTGTGCAAATGGAGCATCGGTTCTATTTAATTGTCTAGATATCTTTGGAATAGGTTTCTTTATCACTTACCAATCATCCCAAATCATCTAGATTTTTTTGGAACAGATTTCTTTATCACTTACCAATCATTCCGACCACAAAAGTCGTCATTTCGCTTTGTATATACCGTATTTATTCTAATAGAAACGCAATCTCTATTACAAATAATAACTATGGATATTCAGCTTAGTAGACCGAATATCCCGAGTTTTCAGCCTTTAAGGATATGTAAGGCGTTTCCTGAAAAAGAATTGCATTCTTTATCATTTGTCTTGCATCAGCAGTGGCAATTTTGATACCGTATTTCTTCGAATAGAAGACCGGGTAAAGAGTATCATCGCGTACTCCTGCGTAGCAGCCCTTTTTAAAATTTCTTTTCTGCATAAAAGCTTTCAATGAAGTGCTATAGGGCTGGAAAATGACTCAAAAATACCACATGAGCTAACAGATTTTTGAGCCATCTTCCAGCTCTATAGCACCATGAAAGCTTTATCAGAAAAGAAATTAAAAGGGCTGCACGCAGGAGTACGCGATGATACTTTACCCGGTCTTCTATTCGAAGAAATACGGTATTACATTTTGAGTTAATCAAAATAACCAAAATCCAAGGGTTGGTGTTTGTTTGTTTCACAAAAACAAAACACAAAAAATGTTTTCAACGACGATTCCCCACGACAAAAAGGACCGACAGATGTTTTTTTTTTTTTTAATGCTCAAAAGGGATGCGCGTAGTGCACGCACAGACAGACAGAGATTATTTTTTTTATATGTCGTAGCCGATTATGAATGAAATTTTTTGGCACCCCTTTAATTTATAAGGACAATCTTATATCATTTTGTAGCGAATTCAATTCTGCGTCGATTGATAAGAAATTTGTGAGTTTATTATTAGAAATTGCGGGCACTACAACGTTTCATTCAAAATCGGCGGGAATCCCATAGCCCGATTATGAATTTCAGCCGATTGATTTTCAGCCGATTATGAATGATTGGGTCCAGGGGCATCCAATCAACAAGTATTTGTTATCATTCAACCCAGAATCATTGATAATTATGTTCAATTTTTTTAAATTAGCATGATTTGATAAAAAGAAAAAAAATTAGAGCAAAAAAAAACTATTTTTTCGAGAGAAAACTTTCAAGTCCCGTAATTTTTTTTCTTTTTATCAAATCTTGCTAATTTAAAAAATTGAACATAATTATCAATGATTCTGGGTTGAATGATAACAAATACTTGTTGATTGGATGCCCCTGGACCCAATCATTCGATTCTGGTTGAATGATAACAAATACTTGTTGATTGGATGCCCCTGGACCCAATCATTCGATTCGGTTGAAGAAACAAATACTTGTTGATTGGATGCCCCTGGACCCAATCATTCGATTCTGGGTTGAATGATAACAAATACTTGTTGATTGGATGCCCCTGGACCCAATCATTCGATTCTGGGTTGAATGATAACAAATACTTGTTGATTGGATGCCCCTGGACCCAATCATTCGATTCTGGTTGAATGATAACAAATACTTGTTGATTGAGCCCTGGACCCAACATTCGATTCTGGGTTGAATGATAACAATACTTGTTGATTGGATGCCCTGGACCCAATCATTCGATTCTGGTTGAATGATAACAAATACTTGTTGATTGATGCCCCTGGACCCAATCATTCGATTCTGGGTTGAATGATAACAAATACTTGTTGATTGGATGCCCCTGGACCCAATCATTCGATTCTGGTTCAATGATAACAAATACTTGTTGATTGGATGTCCCTGGACCCACCCATTCATAATCAGCTGAAATTCATAATCGGCTACGACATATATATATAGTAATGATCTGATTTGTAAAATTATAGATCTAAATTTTAAAATAGAGATTTGATATTGTTTTGAATTCTAAACAATCAAAAAGTACTTACCAAGATTGAATAATCAGGGACTCCCCGTCTTTTGGGCGACTTTTTCCCCCAAGGTGCCAGGGCCGCATTAGCTCAGTTGGTAGAGCGTCAGACTTTTACGAATCGAAAGCAATCTGAATGTCAGGGGTTCGAGCCCCCTATGCGGCTAATCACTTTTGTTTTTTTCAAAAAGCAATTTATTTGCTTCTTCTGGTCAATTCAAGGTTTTTGCCGTGACTATTCCTTGACTTTGGCTTGGCCTCAACCTGGGGAATTGATTCTCGGTCCGGCCTTGTTTCACTGATTCACTGACAATTTTCGAGTGGTAAGATTCTATGGGTTCAACAAGATTCCACTCGCCGTCTTTTGGGACCCTTTTTCCCCCAAACCAAAGCATGGCCGCATTAGCTCAGTTGGTAGAGCGTCACGACTTTTACGAATCGAAAGCAATCTGAATGTCAGGGGTTCGAGCCCCCTATGCGGCTAATTATCTTTTGGATTTTTGCAAAAACTATTTAGAATAGTAAGACTGATATAATGAAAGCTAAAAGAGAGCTAAATGAAAGCTAAATGCTAAATGAAATCGGCTAATCACTTTTGCATTTTTCTAAAATTTCTTAAATGTTCAGAAACAGTAAACAACCCAATGAAGAACTAAACTTTCACTAAAATTTGGTAAGACTTTTCATTGTTTTTCCGTTCTGAAACAAAGTTTTCTAGTTTCCACAGAAATTCCCGTCTACGTTTTCAAAAAGCAATGTTGAACTTGTTGAATTCAAAATTCGATTAAATAAACGGCTTTCATTGTGCATTTTTTTGTGAGGTCATCACTTATAAAACGCAAAAATTTCAAACAAAAAAGAAATCCAACAATGCAAATTTTCCAAACAACTCAAAGAACGTGATTTTCGGTAAAAACTCACAGGTCAATGGAAGCTTTTGACCAACTTTCGCGTGATCGTTTTAATTGGAATTTCCGCCAACGCGCAAACAATGTTCAAAAAATTCTGTATAAAATGGCCGAATGATGTGAGGGGAAATATTGAAAAGTGAGCTCACTATTCGGGCCACAACAAAACACATTTAAATCCCTCTCTATTCACACCTAAAGGATCTTCGAAAGGAAAAGGTTTGTGGGATTTATGAAAGATATTCAATCAGTTACCGTATACATAGAGAAAACGTTTCTCTTGACTTTTCCTAAATCTTGTCCCTTTTCCCTTTTAAGCCAGACAAAAAGGTGAATAAATTGGATAAAAATCGAGACAAGATTACGGTAGAAAGAGAAAGGACAGAGTTTAAGGAAATGGATTGATGAAGAAGGAATTTCCGTCTTTACAATATTCATAGAAGCATTTTTCCAGCTCAAATTGCAATATAATAGTTCTACTTTTCCTTAAATAAGAGCAATACCGGTGAAAATCCAAAAACAAATGAATCCTATTAGATTCAGCTAATTGAGAAAAGCCCTTTGGGTCGGTTTAATTACCCAAGTTTTGAGTTCTTTGATGCTTGGTAGAGGAAAAGCGATCTGGAGAGCAAAATTGAAGAGTTTTTCTCGAAATTCGCCACGATATAGTTTCAGAATGAAGCTAAATATGGACAGAAAAGAATAAAAAAAAATCACCGTTTGATCTGCTTTTTGCGCTCTTTTCATGTCACTCACATGAAAAATTTGGGGTCTGGCACACTGCTCTAGGTGAACTCCTCGAGAAAAGTCCTTTGGGCCGGTTTAATTACCCAAGTTTTAAGTCTTTTGATGCTTGTAGAGGAAAAGCGATCTGGTACACTTTGGTAGTTAAATTTAATGATATAATCGACTTTCCAAGGAGAATCTACCGCAAATAGAATCCCATCCGAATAATGGAACGGAGTGTCGCGTAGTCTAGCTTTGATCGCGTTTTTCTTGACCTTTTTTTAAGCTACAATTTGCGCTTAGAGATAAAAAAAAGCTGGAGTTCAGCGCTTATTTTGGAAAGAACGAGCTTCGAAAGAATGAAATACTAAACTTTTGCGACTACGCAACTGTACTAGAGTACTATTACAGTATTTATGGTATATTTTTTAATAACAACTATAGAAACCTTTACATTATTCATAGGAGCATTTTTTTCAGCTCAAAATGCAATATACCGTATTTTCTCTAATAGTAGTGCACCCAGAGCGTCGCCTAAATTCCTCGCAATCTCGAGAACCGCTTATCAGAACCTATCGATGTGGGATCGGAAAATGTAGCTGACGATGAGATCTAGTGGGGGATTAGAGGGTTGAGCTTCTGCAAAAGCTTTGAAACCGTCAAATAGTCATCAACTCGGCTCGGCGGAGTGCACTAATATTAAAGAAAATACGGTAATAATTCTACTTTTCCTTGAACAAGAGCAATACCGGTGAAAATCCAAAAACAAATTAGTCTTATTAGATTGAGTACTCTTTGTTTGTATCTGTTGCTCATCAGCTTTTTGGTTTCTTTAAACAAACGTTGGTTTGCTTGTATTAAATTGCTAAGAATTGCTAAGATTGCTAATAATTAAAAAGTGTGTTTAATTTTCGATATTTTAAGACAAATTTTGACTTATTATGATGCAAATTCGCGAAGAAATTATTCTCATTTATCTCTTAAAAAAGAAACGAAAAAAAAAACAGTAGGACAAATAATTTTCTGATATAAATAAAACAATAAAAAGGCAAAATTTAAAGGCAATTTAATTGGTCTAATAATAGCATTTCTTAGCATAATTTATAAAGGATTACAAGCGAGTCCAATTAGCCCAATCAATTCAGATCATTGGCTGAAACTCAGTCAGCTGACAGGAGTGACAGAATAGCTGAATAGATAGTTACTTGCTTTTAAAATTCATTTACTTGAAAACTTTCTCCGTCCATCCACCCCCACAACCATAGTTATCCCCAGTGCAATCCACGATTTGCTGGAAAGGAAAATCTTTTGCTCCGTACAGGAGTGGTCTGTACTAAATTGAAGTAAAGCAGACTGGAGTGCATTGCATTTTTGCGTTACATGCTTAGTTGACCATGGTACTGGTGATGTACTCTGAACTTTTTATTTTCTCTTTTTCTATTTAAAATAGATTTTTGTAGAAGAGAAAGGTTAAGGGGTTTATTTTGAAAGTTTGACTCTTGAAATTTGAAAGTTCGACTCTTAAAAGCAAAATAAGAGCTTTTAAAACACTTGAGAAGTATTTTGTAAAGAAGTGGTAGGGGTTTTTCAATAAAATAAATCGTCTTTTGTGTTTTGATTGATTTACTGTTTCTAAAACGGTTAATGAAGATAGCATACCAGCACGTTGAATTGAGTTTTGTCGATCAGAACTGAAGAATTGCTCGTGGTTTCAATCGAGTAACAAACTTTGAACTCAGCTGCTTCCCCTCTCTTTCTCTTCTCCTCCTCTCTCTCTCTCTTTCTCTTCTCTCTTTCTTTCTCTTCTCTTTCTCTCGCTCTCTTCCTCTCTCTCTTTCTTTCTCTTCTCTTTCTCTTTCTCTCTCTCTCTCTTCTTTTTCTCTCTCTTTCTTTCTCTTCTCTTTATCTCTCTCTTTCTCTCTCTCTTTCTTTCTCTCTCTCTTTCTTTCTCTTTCTCTCTAGTATAACATGAAATAAACAGAATAATTGGTTCAACAATTATCAAATATTCGCAAGCGTCGATAGATTTTGAGCATTTGAACATAGCATTTGATCAAAAATCCACCAAACAGCTAAACATCTAAACTAAACAGCCAAAATGAGCTCAAAAATGAGCTGAATCATTAACATCTCCTTTCTAGTGCACTCAATGCTTACATTTTCTTATGATATCAAATCCCTACAAGAAAAGGAAGAAACTGTGCCTAGATTTTGTTTGTTAGCAAATCGATATTACGGTAGCGAATCGAAGCAAACTTCTAGAATCTATAGTTATAGAATCTACTGTAGCAAACTTCTAGAATCTATGAGAAATTGTGAAACATTCCAATTGAATACAATATAAAGAGAAAAAGAAAGCTTTTAAGCACAAAGTACACAATGTTTTTCTTTTTTTTAGAATGTTTCGCTCAATTTTCTTCATCTTTACCTTCATTTTCTCTATCATCGCTCTTCAAATAAAGCTCGATTTGAAAGGTGTTCTCAAAGACGTTCTCAATGATCTAGAAACGCAGAACTTTGCAAATTATATGGCAAAGTGAGTTTGAAAAGATTTAACTTAAGAAGTTTTCGAGAAAAGAAAAGAAATGATTTTCAAGATGGAAGAAAAACTATAATGGAAACGAGACCGAGCTGAAGAGAAGGGCCAACATTTGGAAGCAAAATAAAGCCGATATTGATGCGGTTTGTTGGCGATTTTTGTTTTTAAAACAATAAATGAATGATGAATTTATAGAATAGATTAAAAAAATCTTTTATTAAAGTCAATTTGTTCAGGAAAACGCGATAGCTGATGGATACACATGTGGAGAGAATATGTTCACCGATATGGATAAGAAAGAGAGAAAAAATGTGTGTTGAAAGCTTGAAATTAATCTTTATAGTATTTCAAATCGTCTGGGAATGATAAAACTTTATTTTCAGTATGTGATGGATGCAAATCTTGCCGATCAAGCCGACGCGTCGATCAAGAAATTGGCAACGAGAGCGAAGAGGGGCGCACAAATGACGGTTGGAGGAGAATCTATAATATCTTTTTAATATTACCGTACTTTCGAGTACTGTACTATTATCTAATTATCGTAAATTTAGCTCTCGAATAGACCTACACTCTAATTCTTGACCTTACTGTAGTCTTAAGCCTTACAGTACCTGGGCAAATCTCAGCATAATGTATAAAGGATTCACCGAATCAAGTACTTCCCCTAAAGCCAGCTCTGGCTACCGTAGTCTATGCTTTATATTCATTTCCTTATATTATTTAATAAACCTTACTGTAGCCTAAAAACAGAAATCGCAGCTATTCCATGAGTCTGGGTTACGGTAAGCGGCTCTGAAAAGACTACAGTACTAGACTTGTGTTTCGGTTGAACCGGAAACGTTCTTTTTTGGTTTGTTTTCGTTTTCGGTTTCGGTTAACCGAACCGAACCGAAAAAAAAGATTTTTCGGTTGAACGGAAACCGAACCGAACCGAAAAACTCATGTTTTCGGTTTAACCGAACCGAACCGAGAGACTCATCTTTTCGATTGAACCGAACCGAAAGATTTCGGTTGACTTGGGTTGAATCGTAACCGAAACCGATCCGAAAAGAGCCAACCGAAACACAAGTCTATACAGTACCCCCTAAAACCTCTCTAGACTACAGTAAACATGATCTGATTCTAAAGCATGATCTTTCTAAAGCATGATCTTTCTAAAAGCTTCCCTAAAAAACCTATCCTCTTTGCAGTACGTTGGTGAAACAATCGATTGGCGTCAACCTGCCTACATGCCACCAGTGAGAGATCAAGGACAATGCGGAAGTTGTTATGCATTTGCGTGAGTGAAACTAGATGAATTATTGAAAATTAAAGAGCCAACTATACTAGAAAAGATGCTTTTACTTGTTTAAGCACAAAATACACAAAGTATACATGTTTGCAAGCCATTTTACAAGTCATTTCAGTGCTATCAACGCGATCGAGGTTCAATGGAACTGGCTTGGACACAGTTTGTCTCAATTTTCTGAACAGGTATCATTTTTTTATCTTAAATATTTTTATAAAGAATTTTCCAGCAAATTTATATTTTATTGAAAACTGAATAACTTTAATGTTTAAAGATACTTTTCAAGATCTGAAAAATTCGGCGCTTGGCCGTGTTTTGAGACCCTTTTTCCCTCGCACAAAACATGGCCGCATTAGCTCAGTTGGTAGAGCGTCAGACTTTTACGAATCGAAAGCGATCTGAATGTCAGGGGTTCGAGCCCCCTATGCGGCTAATTATTTTTGCATTTTTCAAAAAACAATTTAGAATAAGACTGATATAATGAAAGCTAAAAGAGAGCTAAATGAGAGCTAAAAGAAAGCTAAAAGAGCTAAAAAAGCTAAAGATTTTCCTTTCTAGCAAATCATCGACTGCTCTGGGACAAACAATGGTTGCAATGGTGGATGGCCGGAGAAAGTGTTCAAGTAAGAGAATTCTAGAACTAAAATTGGAATTCTACATAGTATTGTACCGTAAACGATGTTTTAGCTATTCCATTTACTATGGAAATGCTCCTCGTGCTTCGTATCCATACAAAGGCGTCAAAGGAACGTGCTATAATACGGTAGGGTTTCGAGAAAAGCTACAGTAGACATAATCAGTAGCTACACTAAGCTACAGTATCCCTACGGTTCTAGAGTACAGTACGCAAGTAAATAGCTACAGTGCGGATCTAAAAAGACTCATTCCAGGCAAGAACAATGACGGTCAGCACTTGGTATCAATTGACAACTGTCTCACAAATGGAATCATACAATTATTACTATGGAGCAGTGGCTTTCAGTGGGTTATAGAAAATCTGTCTTTAAAACTACGGTAGCTATTAGATGTGGGGATTTTCCCTGAACGTCAATAGGTAGTCAACGGAAAAATGCCATAGCTTTGCGAATTTCACTCTGATCTTTTTGATTTTGAGATCAATTGATGGAGGATTTCATTTTCTATCGATTGATATCAAAGAGAAAAAGATTAAAGTGAAATTCAGCAAAGATATGGCATTTTTTATGAAAATTGACGTTGACAATTCCCCAGATCTAGTAGCTAGAATAGAATAGAATAGCATAGCTAGATCGTGCTAAAGCTGAAATGAGTCTCTAGGCATTTACGTGCCAAACTCGATCTACTCGTACACGGGCGGGATCTTCTATCCAACGCAAAGCACTTGCACAAGCGCCAATAATGTCGGCGCTCATTCGATGACCATCGTTGGATACGGTAGGGTTTAACGTTTATTAGGAAAGCTTATTAGGAAAGCTGATTTAAAATAAAGTACTGTAGAGTAGACAGAAGGCTTACTGTACCTACATAAACAGCTTCTAGTGCTCTTTCTTCACTTTTCTTGAAAAAACAAGTCGTTACTTTGAGAAAAACGATAAAGCCAGTGCACCAGAAAGATGCGTTTACAAATTTTGAGCACAAAGTACACAAGCATCCATTTCAGTATCCAGTTTTAGGTGCTCAAAACGGTGTTCCTTATTGGATCGTACGGAACTCGTGGGGTGCGAGCTGGGGTGAAGGTGGATATTTCAGGGTAAGTCGAAAAGATTATTGAAGAAATAGAAAGAGAAATATTGAATAGAAGCTTCAAATTCAGCTTTAAATTCAGCTTTAAATTCAGCTTCAAATCAAAATTTTCAGATGCGAAAGAGTGTGAACAATTGTGGAATGGAGTCACGCGGTGTTTTCTTCCCGTGGCTTATCGGAACACACTAAAAATAATAAAAAAGAGACGGAAAAATAAATGTTTTGCTTGTATCAAACAAAATCGAAAGAAATCAAAAGAAAATCAGCGAAAATCAAAAGAAAATCAAATGAAAATCAAAAAAGAATTGATCAAAATCATCAACTATAACTGTAATCTTTTATCAGTTTCACTAAAAAATAAAAACAAGTTTGAGAATTGGCAACGAGAGCGAAGAGAGGAGTACAAATGTGCGTTGAAGTAGAATCTATAAGATCTTTATAGCATTACCGCACTTGCGAGTACTGTACTATTATCTAATTATCGTAACTTTAGCTCTGTAATAGACCTATACTCTAATTCTAGATCTTACTGTAATCTTACAGCCGTAGAGGTTACAGTACCTGAGCACCGACTTCACCGAATCAAGTACTTTCCCTAAAGCCAGCTCTGGCTACCGTAATCAATGCTTTATATTCATTTCTTTATATTATTTAATAAAGCTTACTGTAGGATATATCCTAAAAACAGAAACCGTGGTTATTCCATCAGGCTGGGTTAGGGTACAGTGTAAATGACTACAGTACCCCCTAAAACCTGTCTAGACTATAGTAAGCATGATCTGATTCTAAATGCAAATCTTGCCGGATCAAGCCGACGCGTCGATCAAGAAATTGGCAACGAGAGCGAAGTGGGGAGTACAAATGACGGTTGGAGGATAATCTATAAGATCTTTATAGTATTACCGTACTTGCGAGTACTGTACTATTATCCAATTATCGTAAATTTAGCTCTGTAATAGACCTATTACTCTAAAAATTTGAGAAAAATCATTGATTTTTAATCCATTCGAAACCGCAGCGTTTTTTCTTTTTTTTCGTCTACGGACCAAGCCCTTTTTTGACATTTTTGACTCCGAAGCAGTTTATTTATGGTTGGAAAGATGCAAGAGAGTCTCCTACACCATTTATTTTTGATGAAGAACGATTTGGATTTGACTTCAGTACTTTTCAAGATCCTATATTATTTTAATTTTATCGACGACAAATTAATCAACATGTTAGTAGGCGAATCTAATAAACATGGAAAAAGGAAAAAAACTGACAGGATTTCGATGCAAGCTCTTCCTGGCTCTGTATCTTCAAATGGGAATCGTCAAATTACCGAAGATTCGTGACTACTGGAGTAGCAGGCCTGGATTAGGAGGATTTTCCCACATGTCCCACATTGTGTCAAGAGCAAAATTTGAATCTATTCTTCGAAACCTGCGTTTTTGTGATAATGAACTGGATCCTGCAGGAGATCGGCTTTATAAGATTAGAGCTATTATGGTACATTTCAATGCAAAACCAGAGACTGCATTGATTCCGGGTAAATATGAAACATCTTTTTTGCCCACGTAATTTGTATTGGGTTGGGGAGAATGAGTCGGCGCCAAACTTTAAAGGGACTTTTTGCACACATAAAGCCTTCTTTAAACATACGTTTGGTTTCATCAAAAGGATCCACTATTTCTCTACAAAATCACTTTTGAGAGATTCCACAAAGCTTTTCTTTCGTAGAGTTTATGAACTTCGAAACGCAGCTGGTTAAAATGGCAAAGAGTCCGACTCATCATTTGAACAGTTTCTTTCACATAAACCTTCTTTGGTGTTTATATAAAAAAGATAGAGCACATTCAATTACTTAAGTTGCCAAATTTGCAGGAAGATCCCACCAATGGTTTTTTCTAGATCACAGTTTGTAGTTTTTGTGAAAAAATGGCTTTTTCTTGAGCGGAGGCGCTGTTTGAATTTTCTTTTAAATGTGATTTTGTAGAGAATTAGTTAACCATTTTACTCATATCAAACGCATATTATTTGACGAAATCGAATAGAAGTTTTAGACATTTTTTTCATTTTCGGCGCCGACTCATTCTCCCCAACCCAATAGATCTGCTACAATTGGAATATACATGTAATGCTGAAAAACAGCAAAAAAGACCAATTAATTGAATGAAAATAGCTCAATTAGCGCTGCAGCGAATAATCGCTGCAGCGGTCCGTTCCTGAGTTTTTGTTGCAGCGATTATTCGCTGCAGAAGTTTCGAATGGGTTAAGCAAAATTTACATTTGATTTACTATCCAAGCAAAATATTCAGTGAAACGATTGACGAAGTCAAACGATGCGAAAAAAAGAGCATTCAACAGCAAGTTCATCCATTCATTCATTCAAATCCATTTTATTACATAGGAAGTCTCATTGTAAATCACTTAACTTTTGCCAAAGTTCCCATATTTGACTATAAAAGCTTCCAACTGCTTAGATGCTTACACTCTTGCTGACAAGCAGGTGCTATTCTAATTTTCTTGTCATTAAAAACAGCTTTGAAAAGTTGATTTCCGTAAAGCCTAGTGTTTACTAGTGTTTAAGCATTTAAACGTCGTGTGAAAGTCATAAAATGGTTTTTATCAGCTTATTCAGTATCAGCTTTTATGTTTTTAGGACTGATTAGGCAAAACTCTCGATAGTAAATCATTAAAAACAGCTTTGAAAAGTTAGTAAAACTCTCCGATAGTAAATCAAAACGATAGTAAATCATTTTTCGAGCATCGCTTCTATGATTTACTATCTAGCGTCCACTGTAAACTAATCAATATTCAATAAAAATTGAAGAAACTTTAATAAACTTTCTCCCACAAAAACTTTAACAAACTTCCTTTATCATTTTTAAATATTAGGTTGTCCAAAAATAAATGAGCGTTTTGTATTGTTTATTATTTGGGTACATTTTTCTCAATAAACTATGCTCTGTACCTTGTAATGTTATCAACCATTAGAAAGCTGAGTTCGTGCTCTCTTTAACCATACTTTTAAATTTTGTTGAAAATAAAATTTTTTGCGAATTTTAAGCTTCGCCGTTTTAGATGTCCGAAACCAACTTTCCCCAGATTTTTTTTATGGGTTCAAACTCGGTCGCAATGCAGCTGAAACGGCTCGTAACATTAACGAAGTTTGGGGCCAAGGCAGTGTCGGCGAGTCAACAGTGCGAACTTGGTTCCGAAAATTTCGAGCTGGTGATTTTGATCTCGAAGATAAAGAAGGCCGTGGCCGTCCTCTTGAACTCGGTGACGACGAACTGAAGACCCTGGTGGAAGCAAATATACGAATCCACGTACGAATCCACGTACGAATCCACGTACGAATCCACGCACGAATCCATGCACGAATCCACGCACGAATCCATGCACGAATCCACGCACGAATCCACGAGACTTTACCTCATCCGCCATATTCACCGGATCTTTCGCCTACCGACTACCACTTTTTCAAGCACCTCGACAACTTTCTCCGGGAGAGATGCTTTAAAACTCAACACTCAAGACCCTACCAAAAACGCCTTCGCTGACTTTATCGTCTCCAGAAGCCCGGACTTCTATGCTACCGGCATAAATAAACTTGTTTCTCGTTGGCAAGAATGTGTTAATTGTAATGGTTCTTATTTTGATTAATAAAGTTTTGTTTGGATCAAGTTATGGGATTTTAAATATTCGAGTTGAAAACGCTCATTTATTTCCGGACAACCAAATATATACTTCAAAACCAGCGCTGAAAACACAAAGAACTTGTCAATGTGGAAACATTTGCTCCATTTTTGCTTAAAATCTTTCAATCTTTCATTGAAAATGACTTAGAAGACACTAGACAACTGTTTTTGCTACAAAACAGTTTAACAAAGTTCAAACAACATTGTTAATCAACATTGTTAATCAAAAGATTCAAACCAGGAAAAGGAGCAGATTTTAAAACATCAAACTGAAAGCATTTGTCAAAATTTATCAAAGGAATTTTGTTAAAGAAAAAGAACAATTACAATTACAATTATAATTACAAAAATAATTACAAAAACATAAAAACAGCACTTTTGTAAGCAGAGATAAAGGGAAAGCCTTTTTATTTTGTTGCCATTTTTGACAGTTTCGACATGTCCCACTCTCCTTATGAACGATTTCACAAAAGGGTTTCCCGTAGCCCGGTTAGCTCAGTCGGTAGAGCACCAGACTCTTAATCTGGCTGTCGCGGGTTCGAGCCCCGCATCGGGCTTATATTTTGACATTTTTGTGAAAAAACCATTGCTTTTTTTGTTTTGCTTGTTTTGCAATTCTATAGTCAAAATATTATAGTTTGATTTATTATCTTATTTATCAAGTGATTTGCTATTATTCTTCTCATTCATTACTATTATTCATCTCTTCAAACATGGACAGCAGCGACGAAAAGGTTCTTTATTTCTTTTGTTTCTTTTGTTGCCATTTTTGACACTTTGACAGTTTTGACATTCTATGCCCCACTCTCCTTATAAACGCTTCCAAAAAGATCTTCGTCATAGCCCGGTTAGCTCAGTCGGTAGAGCACCAGACTCTTAATCTGGCTGTCGCGGGTTCGAGCCCCGCATCGGGCTCATATTTTGAAATTTTTGTAACGAAACCATTGTTGGTTTTCAATTCAATAGTCGTTATAATTTGATGTTATTTAGGAAACGATTTTTTTCTTATTCTTCTCTTGATCGGTCGCCCACACAAAATTTGTTAGACTTTGATTTTGTGACATTCAGAAGCAAGTCAAAAAGCAAAAAAAATAACAATGGGATTTTCAAAAGCCAAAAAAACAGTTGGGGACAGTTGAGCTTTATTCAAAAATCGTTTGCACGTGTTGACGTAAATTTTCGTATAAAAAGTGAGCAGAAAATCAAGAATTCGAATTCGAATTTTCTGAACACAAGGGAAAGTTCAATTTGTTCCGATCGGTATCGATTTGGAAAGGTTTGTTGAAAAGTTAGACTTTATTCTTTGCGCTTTTGTAAACGCATCCTTTCTAGCGCACTGAACTCCTCATTCTCTTCCGTTTCTACAAGAAAAATGAAGAATTCCGTGCACCGGATTTGTGTTTGCAAGATTGATTTTAAAGTACACCAGAATACTGTAAACATAGGAGTTTTGTTAACGATTACTGTAAGATATTTGCTTTAGACTACTATAGAAGCGTATTCAGAAAAAGTACTATAGCTGGTTTCGTACTGTAGTACGGAAAAAGTACTGTAGCTGGTTTCGTACTATAGTACGGAAAAAGTATTGTAGCTTACTTTAAGTTAAAAATTTGAAATTTAAGAGCCTTTATAGTATTCTGTATAGTATACTTTAATGTAAACATAATATTCAGCTAATAAAAGAAGAAGTTTAACTTTAGAATTAACTTTAGAATGATTCGTCTCCTTGTTTTCTTTACCCTCGTTTTCTTGACGTTCAGCATTGCACTAAAGCTAAAGCTTTATGAAATCAAAAAACATTCCAAGGGAATTCTCAATGATTTCCAATTGGATCATTTCATAAACTTTACTGTTAAGTGAGTTTTTTAAATAAAATTTTAAGTTAAATACCGTAATAGTAACCCATCCCGATAATGAAGGTGCGGAGTGTCGCGTGGTCTAGCTTTGAACGAGTTTTTCTCCACACTGGTTTATGCTACAATGCACGCTTAGGTATCAAAAAATAGCCCTGAATTTCAGCTATTTTTTGATATTAAAGACGCATTTTTTTGAAAGTACGGGTGCTTTGCAAAAAATGAAAAACTAAAAAACTTTTGCGACTACACGACTGTACGAGGGGGTGGGGTACTATTACAATATTTACGGTAAATTCAATAATCAAATAAACCAGTAATCAAATACCGTAAATACTGTAATAGTACCCCAGCCCCATAATGACGGTGCGGAGTGTTGCGTTGTCTAGCTTTGAACTAGTTTTTCTCGACACTGGTTTATGCTACAATGCACGCTTAGGTATCAAAAAATAGCCCTGAATTTCAGCTATTTTTTGATATTAAAGACGCATTTTTTTGAAAGTACGGGTGCTTTGCAAAAAATGAAAAACTAAAAAACTTTTGCGACTACACGACTGTACGAGGGGGGTGGGGTACTATTACAATATTTACGGTAAATAAAGTTTAGATGGAAGAAAAGTTATCATAGTGAAGAAGAGGTACAGAAAAGAGCAAAAATTTGGAAAGAAAATAAAAAAGAAATTGATGAGGTGAGATATTTTAAAGATTCAAAGCTTTAGCTGAATATCTTTTTCAGGAAAATAAAAAAGCGAGGGGGTATAAATTGGGCGAGAATCTCTTCACCGATATGGACGATGATGAGAAAGCGAAGGTGAGGAGGGGAGAATTGTGATTAGCTCGATTTTCTTTGACTAAGAATCAATCTAAGTTTTGATACTGTAAGAATATAATAATTTATTTGACTCTGAGACTTCAAACCGAAGCTTCTTTAAAGCATCACTTAGCTAGCGTAACCTATGAGATAAATCAGTTTTTAGATGTTATAGTAAACCGTATAGAAAAGATAAATCACTTGAAAGCTATGGATTTTAGTCTTTAGTACTTTAGATCTCGAGATTTCTTTAGATCTTTAGATCTCTTTAGATCTCTAGATCTCTTTAGATTTCTCTAGATATCTTTAGATCTCTGTAGATCTCTGTAGATCTCTGTAGACCTCTTTAGATCTCTGTAGATCTCTGTAGATCTCTTTAGATCTCTAGATCTCTGTAGATCTCTGTAGATCTCTTTAGATCTCTGTAGATCTCTTTAGATCTTTAGTAAACAGATCTTTAGTACGTGATGGACATCAACACAGCGAATGCTGGCGATGAAGCGATTAAGAAAATTGCGAAACGAGGGAAAAGAGCCGCGATCACTGTTGGTTTTCTTACAGAATTACAAAAAGAAAGTAAAACAATCTGTTTTTTAGCTATAGCTAATAGTAACCCTGAGCTAGAATAGAATACAATGATTATTGACCGAAAACAGCTGAGCTTTTCAATGTTTTTCAATGTGTGGGAGTCTAGTGGAGAAGTCTTTTAAATCTTTATACAAAAATAGTCAAAGCCATGAATTGATCCTGAATGATTTTCAAGATTTACAGTATGTTGGCGAGTTGAAAGATTGGCGTAGACCGGCGTGGATGCCTGCGATCAGAGATCAGGGATCGTGTGGATCGTGTTATGCTTTTGCGTAAGGGAATTTAAAAGTTCAACTCTAAAATCTCAAGAGTTACTCAGTGCAATCAATGCAATCGAAGTTCAATGGAATTCCCTTGGTCATACGGCTCAATTCTCGGAACAGGTTTCAATGGAAATTTCATGCTTTAGACAATAGCCGATCAGATAGCCGATCCGATCAGATTTTGGATTCTTTTTTGATTGAATCCTCTGAAACAGTAATTCTTTTTGTTTCTTTGAAAATCCATTATCAAATTAACATTTGATTAATCGAGGACCTAAATAGGAACTAAATAGGAACTAAATAGGAACTAAATAGGACCCATAAGGAAACAACGGAACCTGGAAGGAACTATAAAGGAACTAAATAGGACCTGAATAGGAATGCAAATTAATAATATTTCTATGCAAATTTTGAGTGGCAGTTTTTGACCTTATCAATCTTTAAAAGATCAACCAATTCACCAATCATGACCATCTTTCCCCCTGGATCCCTCAGTGCCGCATTAGCTCAGTTGGTAGAGCGTCAGACTTTTAAGAAACGAAAGTAATCTGAATGTCAGGGGTTCGAGCCCCCTATGCGGCTAATCACTTTTGCTTTTTTTCCTCAAAATTAAGGAAATTCTCAGGAACAATAAACAACCCAAAAAAACACCAAAACTTCACTAAAACCTCACTAATTATCAAGACTTTTGATTGTCTATTCGATTCCAAACAATGTTTTCTTGTTTCCCCGGAAATTCTCTTCTTACAACGTTGAAACAATTGTAAAACGAATAAAGCTGAAAGAATTTTACAAAAAAACGTGTTTTTGCACTCGGATTTGCTTGGAAATGGGCTTAAGTTGTCTTCTGAACAATGTTGAATTTGTTGATTCCAAAACCAAATCAAAAACCGGCTTTTATTGTGAATTTCTCTGTGATACTTACCATTAACATAATCAGGCGACTCGCCGTCTTTTGAGACCCTTTTTCCCGAAACTAAACACGGCCGCATTAGCTCAGTTGGTAGAGCGTCAGACTTTTACGAATCGGAAGGGATCTGAATGTCAGGGGTTCGAGCCCCCTATGCGGCTAATTGTTTTTGCATTTTTCAAAAAACAATTTAGAATAGTAAGACTGATATAATGAAAGCTAAATAAAAGCTAAATAAAAGCTAAATAAAAGCTAAATAAAAGCTAAATAAAAGCTAAATAAAAGCTAAATAAAAGCTAAATAAAAGCTAAATGAAAGCGAAATGAAAGCTAAATGAAAGCGAAATGAAAGCTAAAAGAGAGCTAAAAGAGGGCTAGAAGAGAGCTAGAAGAGAGCTAAAAGAGAACTAAATAAAAGCTAAATGAAAGCTAAATGAAAGCTAAATGAAAGCTCAATGAAAGCTCAATGAAAGCTAAAAAAGCAAAAGATTTTCCTTTCCAGCAAATCGTGGATTGCACTGGAGACAACTATGGTTGCGGGGGTGGATGGCCGGAGAGAGTTTTCAAGTAAATGAATTTGAAAAGCAAATAATCTAAATAATTATCTATTCAGCTATTCGTATTATTACGGTAATGCTGGACGTGGCGTTTATCCGTACACAGGGAAGAAAGGAGTTTGCAGAGGGACGGTGAGTGAAGAAATCTCGATGAAGACTCGTAAATGTACTAATAACTGTAATTGATAAAACATCTTAGGCAAGGTCGTACATTGTGTCAAATTGGTACCATTTGACAACGCTCGCCCAAATGGTCTCCTACAACTATTGGTATGGGCCGATTGCGTTCAGTGAGTTCACCAAATAATCTCTTTCAAATAAAGCTAGATAAAGTTTCTATGAAAGCCCCTCAAAGTTTCCCAATGGCAAAGAGGGTGGGGGTATATAAGCCCATAAAACCCCGCCCCTTTTCTCATTGGCAAACTTTAAACTCAAATATCTTCGTGTTGAGCTGTTCAATTTAAACAATTTTTATACCAATTGATAGAGAAAGACTTGGTGAATCTAATGATATAAATCATTTAGAAATTGAGCATTCCAACACCAAGATATTTAAGCTCAAAGTTAGATTGCGAATGGAAAGAAGGAGCGTGTTTCAAATGTCTGACAACCTTTCTGTTGCAATAATTCATCAATTCAACAGCTCAACACCAAGGAATTTAAGCTCAAAATTAGATTGCCAATGGAAAATGAACCGAAAAAGGGAAAGTTAACATGCCTCGCCCCTTTTCCATTAGCAATCCAACTTTAAACTCAAATATCTTCGTGTTGAGCCGTTCAATTTAAACAGTTTTTATATCAATCGATAGAGAGAGACTTGACGAATCTAATGTTGCAAATCATTCATCAATTCAACAGCTCAACACCAAGAAATCTAAGCTCAAAGTTAGATTTCCAATGGAAAGAAGGAGCGTGTTTCAAATGTCTGACAACCTTTCTGTTGCAATAATTCATCAATTCAACAGCTCAACACCAAGAAATTTAAGCTCAAAGTTCGATTTCAAATCGCGTATCAAATATTTGAGAACCTTTTTTTATCAAGAAACCTATTATTGGGTTGTCCAGTTATGAATGCGCGTTTTTATCATTTTGTAAATTTCTCAAGATATCGAACAGGTGTATATGAGTGTTATATATCATTCGAAAGCTGAAGATCTCCTCTACATTTGGATATAAAAAGCTTTGGAATTTGTTCAGCTTTTGGGCAAATTGACTGCACAAAGGGAGAGGTCGTTTCCGAAAAAAAAAACATTCCAGCTTAGCTATTCCTCAAGTTTTATGGTGTAAGCGCCCAGGAAAAAAAAGTAAAGATGCTCTGAAATTGTTATATTTTTTAAAAAAGTTGTATTGATATATCTATTGGCCAAACATCAAACGGTTAACTCAATTTGAGCGCAGCCAAAACTTGATCCAAAGGCACCTTTCCATTTTTTGGCCACCTCTTCTTCTGTGCAGTCAATTTGCCCCAAAAGCTGGACAAATTCAAAAACTTTTTATATCAAAATGTAGAGGAGATCTTCAGCTTTCGAACAATACTCATAGATATCTTTTTCTTGATTTCGGTATCTTGAGAAATTTACAAAATAGTAAAAAACGCGCATTCATAACTGGACAACCCAATAGAAACATTTCTAGATGTAAATCGAAATGCAAATGCGCATTTGACAAGTACAAGTGACCAGTATGATTCTTTATCTGTTCTCTAGGCATCAACGTGCCCAGCTCTCTTTATTCGTACGTTGGCGGGATCTTCTATCCACCACAAAGCACTTGTACAAGCATTGTCAACAGAGGAGCTCATGCCATGTCGATTGTTGGATACGGTATAACTTGTATCGAATTTTATCTAAGCCAAGAAAAGCTTGGACTTGTTGCCGATTCAGTGCACCAGAAGGGAGCGTTTAGAAAGCACAAGCACAAAGTTTGAAGCACAAGCACAAGCAAAAGCAGTAGACAACATTGAACGAAGCTCAGGTTCTGCAACGCCCTGTTGGACTTGCTTTTTAGTTGCACTTTGTGCTAACTGTAAACGCACGCCTTGTAGTATACTCAATAAAGATTTTAGTGTGCTAGAAAGGGTGTATTTTGAGGCTAAAAATGCTTAAGTCTTGGTTTTCTTTAGGCGCTCAAAACGGTGTTCCTTATTGGATCGTAAGGAACTCGTGGGGTGCGAGCTGGGGTGAAGGTGGATATTTCAGGGTAAGTGGAAAAGATAAATGGAAATTTGATTTGCAAATTCGGCAGACAAATTGCAAAAACCCATTTATCAACAGAATTTCAGATGCGTAAAGGTGTAAACAATTGTGGAATGGAGAAACGCGGTGTTTACATCCCTTTCGTTTACGGGCAAAGCTGAATATCTTTTTATGTTAAAGCAAAAAGGATCATCTAAAATGAGCATCAAAAAAACGAAAGCAAAATACACAAATCTCACTTTATTTCTCTTTATTTGTCTTTATTTGAGAAAATTTGGCATAAAAGAATCTCGTTTCAGACGGTAAAGTGGTAAAAAAGAGAGAAACGATAAAAACTCTTGAACTAAACCAAATGCCAGTAATAATCCAAAGCAACAGCTTCATATTGTTTTAAACAATCGTCATGAATGAATGAGTATTCACTTAAAAAGTGGAAACGACCATTGATCTCGTAGGAGAAAAGGCGATAGCTGAAAAGAATTTCAAAAAAGAGTTCAATTTGCGATTCTACTTATCAATTAAGCACAAAGCTTAGGCTCTGAATGTGAGGGGATCTGAGCTAAGCCTAAGCTTAAGCCTAGTACAGTTGAGAAGCAATTGTGCTAGTAAGGTAAAGATTGATTGCAAAATACTTAAACCTTATCGGCAACAGGCCTAAATATCTAAAATAAGGATTTTCTTGTTCTTTAGTGGCTTCTCTAAGTGCTCCAAGTGAAAACAAATCTTTTTAAGTGAGTTTTCGTCAGATTACTCAAGTATTTTCTAGGCTCAGGCTTAGGCTTAGGCTTAGGCTTAGGCTTAGGCTTAGGCTTAGGCTTAGGCTTAGGCTCAAGCTTAGGCTTAGGCTTAGGCTTAGGCTTAGGCTCAAGCTTAGGCTTAGGCTTAGGCTTAGGCTTAGGCTTAGGCTTAGGCTTAGGCTTAGGCTCAAGCTTAGGCTCTGAATGTGAGGGGATCTGAGCTAAGTCTAAGCTTAAGCCTAGTACGGTAAAGATTGATTGCAAAATACTTAAACCTTATCGGTAACAGGTCTAAATTTATAAAGTAAGGCATTAGTCAACCAAAAATCACTGAAATAGTCAAATTTTTCGTGATAAAACTCATTCTCATTTACCCTTTCTTCGCCATTTTCACAATCAAATCGATGACATCTTTGGGCTTTCCGTGAATCTCAATCAGAATCTAAAAAAAGCTTTCATTTCAGTCATCTGTTACAATTTCTGCTAACTGAAATCGATTTTTTTTTGAAAGATTAAAAGCACTTTCAGGCAAGAATTAAAAGCACTTTCAGTTAAAGATATGGAACGAACGAACGGGGAATCGAACCCTCGACCTTCTACTTACCCGGTTGATGCTCTCTTTCCTCAAGAAGAAATACGAAAGATATTAAAGTCTCGAGCAAAATCTCCTTATTTCCTTGACAATTAGGTTTTTCCAATTAGACAATTAGACAAAGACAAACCTGACAAAAAGTGGCCTGATCGATCAGATCGGGAATCACCGTGAATTCACTGCCTAAAAATTTGTTTAAACACATTTGATTTCTTCCTTCAAAATCAAATCCTTCTCACCTTCAATATCGATCTTCAAAATCTCAACCCGATCAATTTTGAGGCGTTTCATTTCACCCCGAATACTACGCTCGTTTGTCTGGAATTGGTATTGCATCAAAATATTTGATTGATATACAGTGGCGGACAATTAAATAGAACCGAGGGAATCATTTCGTGTCTTCTCTCTCGTGCATTATTTTAACTTACTTTCAAAAGTAAAGTAAAATATAGTTCAATATACATCTATTAAACAGTTTTCGAGTTTTCTGCAAAAAACTTTGAGGCACTTAAAAATGCATGAAAATAAAAGTATAGTTTTACAACTTTTTCCTGAGACATTTTAGAGCATGATAATGTTCAGCAAAAAGATTCTCCGTATTCGATTTAGTGGGAATAAGCTTTTAGTTTGTGGAAATTCGTCGAAATTTAAGGGTTTTCGGGCATCTGAAAGTGCAAAAGGGTCAAAAAAGGGAAAAAACGGCAAAAATAGCCAAAAATCGTCGTTTTTGAGCACTTTCAGTGCCTCAAAGTTTTTTCAGAAAACTCGAAAACTGTTTAATAGATGTATATTGAACTATATTTTACTTTACTTTTGAAAGTAAGTTAAAATAATGCACGAGAGAGAAGACACGAAATAATTCCCTCGGTTCTATTTAATTGTCCGCCACTGTATACATTTCGATGATTATCAGTTCAAATAAAACATAACTTATAAGTTTATATGTAAAAAAGTAAAGAAATGAATGGTAAAGAATTTGGAACGAACGGGGAATCGGGGAAGGAATCGACGGGGAACCCTCGACCTTCTATTATACTTACCCGTTGTACTTCTATTGTACTATCAATACTTACCCGGTTGATTCTCTCTTTCCTCAAGAAGAAATACGAAAGATAAGGAAGAGAAAGAAAGGAAGAAAGGAGGAAAGAGAAAGAAAGGAAGAAAGGAGGAAAGAGAAAGAAAGGAAGAAAGAAACCTCTGGATTATCCCTTGTTGAAATAAGAGCCTTGGTGAAGAAAGCGTTGATTTTCTCGAAACCGTCAATCACTGAATCGTCCTGAAAGATAGATCAAGATGTGCCAGAAAGAATGCGTCTCAATGAGCATAAAGTTCTTCTCTTTTATTCAAAACTCACTTTATCATACGATTGCACGGAGCATTTCTGATCGCTGATTAGTTGGATTTCTCTCTCGAAGCTCGGATCTGTAGCCACACCCAATGACATCACCACACAATTGGCTGAAGATATTTATTAGGAAAGCTTTGCTTTGCTTGCTTTGCTTGCTTTGCTTGCTTTGCTTGCTTTGCTTGCTTTGCTTGCTTTGCTTGCTTTGCTTGTTTTGCTTGCTTTGCTTGCTTTCTTTGGCTTTGCTTTCCTTTGCTTTCCTTTCCTTTCCTTTCCTTTCCTTTCCTACAGCTTCAAGTTGTAAAAGTGTCAAAGCTTGGCCAGATCAATTTCCTAATCAAAAAGCTTAGCTTACTTCCAAATCTCCAAAACCTCTATTGACAAAGACTGTCTGTAGAGTTTCTTTTTCTAAAATTTTCCCAAAAACAATCAAACCAGGCATTGCCACTGGATTGCACACCCATTTCCCTCCATCATCAACGTTTCCAACTCGGATAAGACTCGGGCAAAAAATCTAATTAAAGCTACAGTACTGAACAATGAAATATGATATTTGAAAAACGATCGTCACTTTCGCGCGTCTGTAACTCCGTTGTCTTTGAGTTTAAACTATTAGTGTTATACATTTTCTGAAAGCTCTTTTCAAGGGCTACACAATGGTAATATTAATATTTAGAAATACGATAAAGACAAGGGAGTTACAGACGCGCGAAAGTGACGATCTTTTTTCACATATCATATTTCATTGTTTAATAGTTTATGACTTCAAAAGAATCTACTCTGTAAACAATTGTAATTTTATGAAACTTTCAGTACTTGATTCTACTTGATTCTACTTGATTATCGTTTTTTTTTTAATTAGCAAACCTCAGGCACAATCCCATTGTACAACATGGCAAAGCCAGTGTTCTCATCGCCTTGATTTCTGATAGTTTTCATCAATCGTACCCGATTCTCATGCTGGAAAACTCAAAATTTAATAATTTATTTCGAAATTCACCTGTATTTTGTACATTTTCAGCACCGAATCATCTAAACGGCAATTCGAATTTGAATTTGGTGCTGCCACGAATGAGGTGAGCTTTTCGATGAGCGTTTGTTGTGGGGTTTTCTGTCGACTGTACACTTTATGATGGATTTCCTGAGTCACTAGAAAAAAAATTGAGCATTTTAAAACAAATCTTTATCTGATTCTTTATCATTTAAGTTAGCTAGGTGTTTTTTTTTAAGAAATTTGACATTTTCAAGTAGTCTTAGCCAATTTTACTTTTAAACAAAAATCGAAATACCTGAAAATCTTACGATTTGTATTGTGATGAATTTGAAAGAATAGCAGAACGGAGAGGAAAACGAGCAGATAAATGAACAGCATTTCTCGGGATGTCATTTGAAAGAAATTCGATGAATTCGATGATCTAGAAATTATCTAGAAACCGAAAGAAATCAAATTTCTTGATAAAATCTTGAATTTGTAAATCTTTCAGAACTTTGACCAAGACAGGAATCGAACCGTCGAGCTTTCGATTCGTCCGATGACTCGAGAGGCAGCCAGTCTAACCACTCGGCCACACGAGCAAATTCCCGGCGGCTAGAAAAGGGGATAAAGAAAGGGAAGAAAGGGAAATGAACAGCATTTCTCGGGATGTCATTTGAAAGAAATTCGATGAATTTTCAAGGAAAAGATCTAGAAATTAGCTAGAAATTGAAAGAAATTAAATAAATAAACTCTTGAATTCTTGATAAAATCTTGAATTTGTAAATCTGTTAGAACTTTAAGCAGAGACAGGAATCGAACCGTCGAGCTTTCGATTCGTCCGGCTGCTCGAGAGGCAGCCACTCTAACCACTGAGCCACACGAGCAAATTCTGGCTAGCCAAAAAAGGGGATAAAGAAAGGGAAATGAAGAGCATTTCTAGGGATGTCATTTGAAAGAAATTCGATGAATTTTCAAGGAAAAGATCTAGAAATTATCTAGAAATACAATCTAGAAACCGAAAGAAATCAAATTTCTTGATAAAATCTTGAATTTGTAAATCTTTCAGAACTTTGACCAAGACAGGAATCGAACCGTCGAGCTTTCGATTCGTCCGATGGCTCGAGAGGCAGCCACTCTAACCACTGAGCCACACGAGCAAATTCTAGTTAGCCAAAAAAGGGGATAAAGAAAGGGAAATGATTGAAAAGCAAGATTCGATCTAATTTGATCTAAAAGCAAACGCTTCTTTTGACAGAAATCCACGAAAATGTGAGATTTTTTTTTGGTCGAAAAGAGCCAAAAATGAAAGGCTTTCCAACCATTTTTGCCGATATAAAAGCAAACAAAAAAGGAGATTTTGCGGAAAAATGTAAAAATGAAGAGTTTTTCTCGAAATTCGCCACGATATAGTTTCAGGATGAGGCTGAATATGGACAGAAAAGAATACGCAAAAATACAATGCAAAAATACAAAAATACAAAATACAATTAATCTGCTTTGTGCGTTCTTTGTCACTCACGTCAAAAATTTGGGGTCTGGCATACTGCTCTAGGTGAAGTCACCGAGAAAAGCCCCTTGGGTCGGTTTAATTACCCAAGTTTTGAGTTCTTTGACGCTTGTAGAGGAAAAGCGATCTGGAGAGCAAAATTGAAGAGTTTTTCTCGAAATTGTCCACGATATAGTTTCAGGATGAGGCTGAATATGGACAGAAAAGAATACGCAAAAAATCACCATTTGATCTGCTTTGTGCGTTCTTTTCATGTCACTCACATAAAAAATTTGGGGTCTGGCACACTGCTCTAGTTGAAGTCATCGAGAAAAGCCCTTTCGGCCGGTTTAATTACCCAAGTTTTGGGTTCTTTGATGCTTGTAGAGGAAAAGCGATCTGGTATACTTTGACAGTTAAATTGAATAAAATAATCGATTTTCCAAGGAGAATCTACCGTAAATAGTATCGCATCGGAATAATGGAGTGGAGTCTCGCGTAGTCTAACTTTGATCGTGTTTTTCTTGACCTTTTTTTCAAGCTACAATTTGCGCTTAGATATCAAAAAAAGCTGGAGTTCAGCGCTTATTTTGGAAAGTAAAAGCTTTGAAAAAATGAAATACTAAACTTTAGCGACTACTAGAGTACTATTACAGTAGATTTTTGATTAAATAACAACTATAGAAGGTAATTGCTCTTTAGAATCTGTATCAACTCCAAAAAAGTTGACAATAAAAGCGCTTGCTCAAGATTTTTGCATGCAATATTAACATTTTCTGACTATCAGAACAATTAGAAATGCAATCAATTGACTGAATATCTTGATAAACCTATATAAAAGAGTTTTTTTTTAAAATAAAAATCAATTCAACTAAAGAGTTAAACTCAAAACAAGTTTAAAATTGAAATTTTTCACTTTTCACCACAAAAATTTGACTCAGTGAGATTTCCTCAAGAGAAATTTATATCTTAATTTATATTTGAGAAATTTATATCCTCAAAATCTTTAGCTAATCTTTAGTATTCAAAATATAAGTATTTAAAATCTTGATCCAATCCAATGAAAATCAAAATTGGGCCAATCAAACGATTGGCCCAATTTCGAGCAATAAACTAAGCCTAAGCTTTGACCCAATCTAGGCTCAGGCTTAGGCTTTGGCTCTGAATGTCGGGGGATCTGAGCTAAGCCTCAGTCCAAGCCTAAGCCTAAGCGTAAGCCTAAAAAATCGACTCTTTATATCTCAACTTCCAGACACGACAACGACCAGAAAATTTGCCAGGATGCTCCCATGGGAGGCGCAAGCACAACACCGAACGGGTGTCCCTCCGGGAACTGGCTGAGATCCAAAAAATGGGGGTATAGCCCAAACCCAAATAGACTTAGTGCGAGGCGCTAGCCGCTAGCCTTCGCACTAAGCCCAAGCCTAAGCCTGAGCCTAAGCCTAAGCCTAAGCCTAAGCCTAAGCCTAAGCCTAAGCCCAAGCCTAAGCCTGAGCCTAAGCCTAAGCCTAAGCCTAAGCCTAAGCCTAAGCCTAAGCCTGAACCTAAGCCTGGTACGATTGAAAAGCAATATGCAGTAGCAATAGCAATTACAGTAATATACAAATATTTTAAAAAATCCGGAAAATTTCAGTTATCTCCCTCCCGAAAATCTCCAGGGAAACGGAAAAACGATTAAGATCCTGATTGAAATAATAAAAATAACAAAAAAATCCAATTTATTCAGAGAAATTGATGATATTCAATGAAAGTAATTGCAGAGGTTTTTTGAAAAATTGTCTTTAAAAAGCTGTGAGAGCTCAAAAATTGAAGAATTTTTTTTGCAAAACTTCAGTAAAAACCCGTAATTTTGTGCTGAAATTATCAAATTTTACAGAAATTTCAGCTTTTTCAAAGTTTAAAGGAGATTTCAATAAGGAAAATGATTTTGTTTTTGTTTTTGTTGGATTTGTTAGACTTGTTGGACTTGTTGGATTGTTTTTGTTGGACTTGTTGGACTTGTTGGACTTGTTGGACTTGTTGGACTTGTTGAACTTGTTAGACTTGTTGGACTTGTTAGACTTGTTGGACTTGTTAGACTTGTTGGACTTGTTGGATTGTTTTTGTTGGACTTGTTGGACTTGTTGGACTTGTTGGACTTGTTGGACTTGTTGAACTTGTTAGACTTGTTGGACTTGTTAGACTTGTTGGACTTGTTAGACTTGTTGGACTTGTTGGATTGTTTTTGTTTTTGTTGGACTTGTTGGACTTGTTCGACTTGTTGGACTTGTTCGACTTGTTGGACTTGTTGGACTTGTTGGACTTGTTGGACTTGTTAGACTTTTTTGTTGGACTTATTTTTGTTGGATTTGAAAATATCCAATCAAAACTAATAACAAAACATAGAAATATCTGTTTTTGACTTTCACCGTGGCACAGGGGAGGCGTAGGAGGGGAAATTACTCTCCCCATGACTCTTTTGACAGCAGCAAGGATAGGCAAGAAGTACCCCCTGGCTTCTGGGTCAATAACATCTGTGAAAGTAAAAGGTTTTGTATTTTCTTGAGATTCTGATCGAATAGAAAAAACCTATAGAATTATCAGAATAAACGTTTCTTTTTTAGAATTCATTAGTTCATTAGTTGAATCATTTTAGAGTTCATTAGTTCATTAGTTGAATCATTTTAGAGTTCATTAGTTCATTAGTTTATTTATTTTAGAATTTAATTGCTTTTTTAGAAAATCATTAGTTAGATTTAGAAAATACTCTTTTTTTTGATTTGTTTTTCGCACTCAGGTGTTCCTATTTGCGCAGATCACAACCTGCTTCCACATTTCTCTATCCCTTGCTATTGTCATCATATGGCATCCTTATGTCCCGTGATTAGATCTCTCGGCCTTTGCTTGATCCGTCGATGCCGGAAGAGAGCAGGGAGGCCGTGCGGGGGATTGAGGCAGAAGTGTAGTTGTCGTAGCCGATGATACTCCGATGGCCGGGCTGGGGCGCTCGGAGGGGAACCCGCAAGAGTCGAACCCACGAATATCCCGCGTTGCTTACCTTGGCAGATCGGACAGGATAGACCGCAGGCCCTTCCTCTTCTAGGCCCCTAGAAAATACTTTACGCGCGTTATTTAAGCACAAAGCATTATTTATATTTAAGCACTAACTCTACAAGGCTTAAACGCATTGATTTTTGGATGAATGGATGCATTTGGATTGAATGAATCATCACACTTTAAATGCCTATAGCTTTATTTTAGAAACAATATTTGCTAGCTATTATTTGCTAACTTTTTCTATCATTGTATAGAGAAGATTTGAGGTTTTCGAATCGCAACAAATACAGTTTAAAAAGATATTGGGTTGATGAACGGAAAACTGAACTAAAATTGAACTTTGAACCAAAATTTCTTCAACATAAAACCATGAATTCATTCCAAATAATTTCCATTATTATTGACGACTTCTGCCCATTTTACAGGCAATTTGCGGATTCCTCTTTCGTAGTAGGATTTTGGTTTGTGTGTGAGACAAGTGTGGGACTCAGAAATGGAGGACTGGAGATGTCCCAGTTTGAGCACTTTCTTCAAAAGAAACCCATTTTGGTGTCAATAGAAAAGTTGTAGAGAATCAAAAATGAGGCTTATAGCCAAATTTCCAAAAAGATATACTTAGTAGTTTCGCTTAAAATGCAAGTTTTGTGAAAATTCGTAAATTTGGCATTTCTTGAAAACCAGTTTTTGAATCGTTCTGAAAATTTGGATATAAGCTTGATTTTTGATTCTCTACAACTTTTCCATTGACACCAAAATGGGTTTCTTTTGAAGAAAGTGCTCAAACTGGGAGATATGACAATAGCCGGCGGTTTTCAATTCACCAACCCAATAGATTGAGATTAGCCTTGATTTGCGGAGAAGTCAATGTTCAATTCGAGGATTCGGAGCC